AGCCAGCTGGAAGCAGGGGCAGCAGGTAGCGCAAGAGGAAAACCTCCCTCTCCCTTACCTGGAACTCGAGCGGCTTTTTTCTTTCTTTTTTTTATTCATTTTTTCTTTTTTTTAAAAAGCTTTGCTATAAAAGAGCAAAGGCCTGGCCGGACCATGGCACGGTTCCCCTCGTCGCTGTCACCAGAGCAGCGCCTGCAGACGCTGTCGAGCGCCGCCAACGCACGCGAAAGTGTGGAACGAGCTCCCAGGCTTCGGCAACCAGCCGCAGGGAAGAGTAAAACTCCCCGGGGCACCGGGGAATCCAAACCCCCTGCCGGGCGCTCACCCGCCTGCAGCCCCTCGGCAGAGCTGCCAGGCGAGGAGCGGTGCCTGCTTCCGAGCAAGCTGCACAGTCAATTTAAAAACGAGCTCACCACAGCGGCATATTAAAAAATAGAGCGTTTATACGTAAATCAAGGCAGAGACAGAACGGAGTAGACAGAACCAGTCTACAGTCTCACAGGGGACATAAAATTTTTTATATTTTTCCCAATTATAAATGTACAATCTAGAGGCTAAAAGAAAAGAGCGAGGAATCCTCTGCCCCGAGGGACTGGTGAGGAATGCGGCCGCGGCCGGAGAGCCGAGAGGGCGCTGCGAGGCAGATCCCCTTGCACCGTCCACGCGTACCATATCACTAACACAGGGCACACTTTCTTGGGCGCAATCTGCTGTTTGTTTGGTTTCGGGTTTTTTCCTCCAAGAAAATCTGTAAAGGGAGAAATTAAACAAAGAGGGAAGAGGAAGAGGAAAGCAGGCAGCTCTCTGCACTCCCGCTGGGATCAGCTTCGCTGTTCACCTCTTCAACAAGTAGGGGTAGTATAAAAGGTTAGAAAGAGTGGATATAGACTAGCTTTTACTCCTGATTTTATTTGTCTGCTTTCTTTTTTAAGTAGTCTGAAGTGGCTGAGAGAATCCTCCCTCATTGGCAAAGTCAATCGGAGCTGGTTGTAGTCAGTGGGAGTCCAGACTGTTTGCTGCTCAGCTGCAAGAGGCAAACAGTGCTGGATTCTGTCGCTTCTGGTTTTGGGGGGAAAGGGGCGAGTGTGTGTGAATCGGGCGCTACATGGAGGGAGCGGGAGCTGCTCAGTCGCCAGCCTCATTCTCTTCCGCCGTCTCTCCCGTGGTGGCATTCTCTGCATTCTTGGACCCTTCCGAGCCGGGGACGCCAGGGGGGCGGCGGCGAGCCCAAAAGGCGACCGCGCAGGACCTGGGTAACGTTTGGGCGCTGCTGATCGCAAGAGATCACGTGCCACTACTCCCCACAAAACCTGGCCAATTTACCTTCTTTTTCTTCTTTTTCTGGGTCTTCCGGCTTGCAGAACTCTGTAGAAGGGCCTGGAGACAGGAAGGAAACATGAGACGCTAGAAAACCGACTCCTTGTCGTGACAGCAGATAAAGGGAAACGCCTTTAAACGCGCAGAAATGGTGGCACGTCCCAGCAGGCACTGCGATGGATGGGGGATGCCACAGCCTCCCAGCCCGCCAACGTATGGGGCCTTGGAGCCAGCGGCTGAGACTGCTGAGCCACCCCCAGAACGGGCTAGGGGTCGTCACCCGCCAGCAGAGCCGGGCCTCGGTGCAGGAAACCGGGGCCCGAGCTGGTCTCAAGCACGCCTCTTCCTTTTGGAGCTCACGCCCCAGCCTCTCCCCGGCAGGCTCTTCCAACTTTCCTTCCCGCCTTCCCCCCCAGCGACGCAAAGACACGGTGACCCACGCAATGCGCTACCTCGGTTTATTATTCTTTTCCAACCAACCTTCAGTTCTCCATCTTGCACCTCAAACTCCGACTTGTAGAGCTCCGGTTCGAAGGGGCCGCTGGTTATCCTCATGGGACCGTTGGGCATTAAAAGCACTGTGAATTTGAACTGTGCAACGAACTCTCCTGCAAGGCAGAGCGGGCATTACCACACCGCAGCCCCCGCGCGCCTGGCCCACCAGCTATCTCGGCAGACGTTTCCAAGCAGATCTTTCCATCCCTGTGCCATCTCCACGCTGTCCCTGCTAAAAACCATCCCGCACGAACTGCTTAAGCCTACCCCAGCCAGGACAAAACAATTCCTCCGGGACCACCCCCCAAGCCTGCTCTGGAAGCAAACCAGCGCGCCTCAGCCATCAATCTCTCCTCCTGTCCAGGAAATTACTCCACAAAAAATTTCATCTCATCACTGGAACGACTCCAAAACAAGATCCAGAAGCCAACGGGTTTCCTGGAGGATAAATCCCAGGGCCCTTGAAGGGCATCTCTAATATTTATGCAGCGGCAACCAGCACCGGTGTCGCCAGGCTCCGGAAGCGACCGACAGTTGTCTGCCCATCCACACCCCGCTCCCAGCCCTCCCACCACCAGCACTCACCTTCCTTTTCGTAGAGGACATTGAAAGGCTGGAGCAGCTCATGCTTGGCGCATTCCACCACCCCCATCCTGGCCTTCTTCTCATCCTCAAACGCCCTGCGGAGCAGACAGAGCCCCACCCGAGCTCAGGCCCTTTCCCAGAGGTCAGGGTCCACCCTGCAGGCTTCAGAATTGCCCCCAGGGCCAGGCACTTGTGTCCCCCTCGCCCCGGCAGCGGTGCGGGGCAGCGACAAAGCAGACTGCCAGAGCAGGCAACTGCCAGGTGAAGTGCTGCCTCCAGAGAGCGGAAAAGGCAAGCGGACTGCAGGACGAAAGAGCCTGCCAAGCAAACGTTGCTTCCTTTGTTTGAGCGCACATCGCTTACAAGAACTGACTGGAACTGCCTCGCTGCCGCATGCTGTGCTCTGACACTGCTCTCACCCCTCTGATTTATTTTAAACGCAATTCCCGGCTCCACACCTGCCACGTGAGGCACAGGAGGTTCTCAAATCCTCTGGCTCTGCCTGGGATTCCTGCTTAAGCCGGTAACATCCTTCCTACACCCACTCCTAGGCTCAGTCACAGCAAGCCCCAGCCCAAAGCAGCCAAGGCCGCCTCCTCTGCGACGGGACGGTGAAAGCAAGTTGGGTCTGCTGTCAGCACGGGCCGTAAGCTCATGCAGAGCATCCAGCTCGGAACGCACGGGGAGGCCGCGAGCAAGAGCCAGTACCTGAGAGTAAATGGCATAGTATCAAAGCGCCTCTCCACCTCGCTGAAAAAGGCACGGGAGGTTTTCATCTTCAAGCCATACTGTTTGGAGGGGTCCCTTTTGTAGATGGTGGTTCTCTGTCCAGCATCCTTTGCCTGCAAACACAAACAGCCCTGAGACCAGGAGAGCGGCGCAGCGCTTCCTCAGCCAGGTCAGCCGACCGCGCGCACATGCTGGGATGCTTACATCGCACACGTGCCGCCCGTATCCCCCCGCCATAAAGGTGCGCCTCAACTTTTTGGATGGAAAAAGCTCCACCCAAAAAGACGCCGCAATACCCAGGCAACAAGTACCCCCAGCTGGAAGCGGCACCCACGAGGACGTGGCCATCAGCACCGCCTGATGATGACGACTGTCCTGAGACACGGTCGCTTTGCCCACGCGCACAGACGAACAGCAGGCCATGAAGCACCGGACTCACCTTTCCCTCTCCACTGCTGACGAGAACATCAACAGCGTAAACTTCATGGACCTCAAATTCTGCTTTTTCATGGTCCTTCCTGGATGAAAAAAAGCTTGGTCAGTCAAAGAACGGTAAATAGAGAAGACATGACCTCCTACACAGCCACAGCACCTCAGACACCCCATACTGGGCTTAGCCAGAGGAGGTCCACAAGCACAAAGCAGTGCTGGAGAGCAAGCAGGTCCCTGGGCAGCAGAGCAGAAGCTGGCACAGGGAAGATGAAGCTGCCAGACCGCAGAGCTGACCAGCGACAGACCAGCGGAGAAGGGCAACGGCAAGCCAGCGCTCCTCTGGCCCATGACGAGCAGCTCCATCCCCGGTAACGGGTCGGAGGTCTTGCAGACGTTCAGCACCAGCTCTTTGAACTTGTGGTCGCGTCCAAGGTGGGCCACGAGCCCCACCACGCCTGAGACCTTACAGTCCAAGTGCTGGGTTTAAAGCCACTGAGCTCTAAATGTTCAGCACGAGACCCAGCCCCGAGGGATCGGAGCTGCTGGAACAGAACAGAACGACATACCCAGCTCATTAGTTCAAAACCACCCTGAGATGCTACCGACAGCGATCACCACCCAGTGGGCTCCCAGCAGCTTCTGCGAGACAAACGCTAGGTCTTGGCAGAGCTCCTGGTGAATTCGCATCCACCACTACAACAGCAACAGTTGGTTGTTTTGCTGGCAGCCTCCAGCAGACTCCGAGAAACTGGACAGAAACCAAGGATGCTCGCAGGTGCCAGCGAGGAGCCTCACGTCAGTGATTTCCAGCCCCTCCTCCTCAGAATAGCCCCCAGACAGAGCCACGCTCCACGACCACGCAGAACGGGCAGGAAGACACAGGGCTAACAAGCTCCGAATTTCCCACACTGGGTCAGACGTCAAGAAAGAGGCCACACAGGGAGCAGCCCACACCCCAGTCACCTTCAACCTACCTGCCACATCCCCCACACGATACTGCAGCGAGAAACAGGGTCACCGCTCTGCACCCAGTCACACCCCGCCCAAATGCTGCTGGAAGCAGCGGCCCCAGCGGTGATGCTCACTTTTGCTGGTCTGTAGGGTTCTGGATGATTGTTTTCTCTCCGTCGATCACATGCTGTTTCAGCTGGTGTGACAGCATCCCTGCCGCGGTAAGAGAATCCATTAGCACCTCCGAGCCCTGCCCCAGCCACTCGGTGACTTGCGCTATGAACGCTCGGGGGCCGGGCCTACAGCCCTCAGCCGGAGGCAGCAGTACAGCAAACCGGCGCTGGCACTTCTCAGCTTCCCTCGGTCGCGGACTGTCACGTGCGTCCGCACAGACACGGAGCTCCCCGAAGCCCACTCCCGCTTCAGCAACACATCACACCCTCGCCAGCGAGGAGCTGCAGGCCGCGGCGAGAGGCGCAGCCCTTCCCGCTACGGCACATGCGCTGCACCAGTGGGCTCTGCCGGGCTGGACGTGAGCCGCAGGCCCGCGCGGCGCACCCTGGGGAGCTCCTCAAGATGCCAAAAGTCAGATTCCTGGGAACTCTCAGTCCCTTCCCCAGCACCTCGGCTATACAGCACTCAAGGGGGATTTTGGGGGGGTTGCTTCACTTTTCCCTTCTGTCCCTCAGATTGAAGTCGAGGGAGAGGTCCCCAGGCCAGCCGCCCAGTGGGGACGGCCGCACGGCTCCGCTCAGGCAGGCCGGCTGCTGGGAAGGGAAAGCACAGCCCCAGCCACTCCGTTTGTTTGGCCCTTCCGCTCCTGCCAGTGCCTCGATTATTACGGCACTCGACTGTTTCCAAAACAGTGGCTGCTTAAACTCCCTCGACAGTGCCGCCTCCTCGCTGCAGCTGATGCCACATTTCTTCACAGAGAAAGGAGCAAAGCATGGAGGAGCCCCACAAAGCCATCCCACGCAAGGAGCAGGGAACCGATGTTCCAAGACTGGGCTAAGGCAAGAGAAGAGAACGAGCCAGCTCTATGGTATTTCAGGAAATTTAACTAATAATGGACCAATTTAATTGTGGCTGAAAGAGGCGTTTGACAGTGATGTCACTGCCTAGGAGAGACGCAGCTGCACGTGCCAAATGCCAGGCTGAGCACCCGCCACCCCGCAGCCAAGGGGCCATGGGCCCCCCTTCCACGAGGAGCTACCCTAGCGCCTTCCCACTCGCCCCTTATCAGCGCCGAAAGAGAACGTGAATCAGTTCATAGTTGGAAGGAAGGAAATTACATACCCTGCACAACTGAGGGTTTCTTTTGCAGTGGCCCTTGTGCTACAAACAAGCTCTGTTACGCATTCGCTAAAGGGTTTTAACTACGAGTGGTCAAGCACGGAGCAAGGGGCCATGCGATTTGCCCAAGGTCGGCAGGAAGTCCACGAGCAGGACACCGTCGACCAGCCGTGGAAGCCCACGTCTATTGTTCCTACATTAACGCATCTTTAAAAATCAAAAAAATAGAGGAAGGAAGAACAATCTGGAGGGCTTTGCAGGGATTTTTTTAGCAAGGGCTGCTGCTCTGGAAGATGGCCTGCCTAGGACTCGCAGTTGTTCCATGTTTCCCAGAATTTGAACAGGGTGGCTCAGGATTTAGCGCGCAGCTGAAACGTCGCTGCCTCCGATCAGCTGCTGCCCCGTCCTTACCTTCAATCGGCGTGCAGTGAAACGAGTGGGCTATTTTGTTCCACACGTCTGTCACTTGTGTGTTCTGGATGAAGAACACATGAGAACACGTTAAGGACATAACATTCAAGCCACAAGCACGACCTGCCTTTTTAACTCGACAGCGTTCTGTGATAAAACTGACCAGTGCCCGACACCTTCAAAAAAAGGAGAAACAGTGTCAGGCTTCTATTTTCAATCCTGTATCAACAAAAACGACACGTAACATGAGCTCAGCTCAGCCTCCCGCACGGCACCCCGCGCCTCCTCACAAGCCAGCCCTCTTCAGGGGATCACACCAGGGGCCACGAGCGATACGAGCACGTTCAGAATAGTAACGCGGTGACAAAGGAGATCGCCTGTGGGTGCTGAGGTGCGCGGGCACCAGGAGAGGAGAGGAGCACGGGGGAGATTCGAGGCAGCACTGCTTGGCAGAGCGGCTGTGCGTCTTCAGCAAGGAAAGGACCAGCAAGCGGGAGCACCGAGGCTGCTCTGCAAAGCCACCGTCACCTGAGGAAGTGCTCGGGTCCCACAGGGCAGAGTCACTGCCACCCGCCCAGCGGGCTGGTGCTCACCCCAGCAGCGGCTCAGCTGTCTGCAGACAGCTGCGCCCAGATTCCCCGCATCGCTGGGCAGTTCTTCCCTGGCAAGGTCACACGCTTTCATTTCTACGCACGAAGCGAGCACGTGGCGCAGGCGGCGCCCATGCCGGAGCTCCTCGCCCCACGCCCAGACATGCCTTCCCCCATATCGGTCACTCACCTGGTTTCCAGGCTTTACCAAGCGCAGGGCGGCTTCAGCACAGAGATGAGCTGCCTTGATGACATCAGCTTTACGGCCTGACACAGGGTTTTCCTGGAAGAACAGAGAAATAAAGGCCTTTGAAGGCACGCTCCTTTCCTTCTTAGTAGCGAGAACTGTTCTGAGACGGGGCTTCTCCACTGAACTCCGAGCAAACGGGGAAGTCGCTCAGCGGTGGACGAGTTTCACAGCTCCCCCTTTCGTCTCCTCTGTTCTGTTAAAAGAGACGAGGATGAGCCACAACCAAACTGGCTCTGCCTCACGAGTTTCCCCAGAGACACCCCTGTACACATCAGTGCGCATCACTGTCAGAGCCTGAAAACAGAACAAGGCTCTCCCGTAGCCGGAGGTTCAGACTGGAGAGATTTCAGCACACTTCAAGGCCTTTTTTTTGGCTTCTCCCCACGGAGCTGTTCAGACACACCGCTGGAGAACAGCCCTCCCCAAGACCCACACGCCGCCTTCCTCTGAGGCTACAGCTAAAGACTGGTTACGCGCCAGCCTGACATGCACCCCGGTAATTCCCCCCGCACGAGCGTGGCTCAGTGCCGCTGCCAGAGCGCCAGACGGAACCACGCGTGCACCCGGACGCGTGCGGGGCTGTGTGCCGCAGTCAGCCCCGGGCGAGTAAGCCCGTGCTGCGTGCGCAGGCAGGACGAGCGGGCAGCAGGGACAGGTTCTGGGGTCCAAACAAGTCGCCCCAGAGCTTGGCTTGAAAGGCTCCCTGCGCCTCGGCCAGTAGAGGGGGGGCAGCAAAACCAGTCTGCCCAGTCTGCCCCACAGCCCCAGACACCCTGCACACAAACAACCCACTGCTGTGCCACTCTCACGCGGTTTGTCTCAAACTGTTGGTAACCTTGCAGAACGGTACGCGCTGAAGCAGGGCCAGCCCTCGCTCTCCGGAGGGCTGAGGAACTTCTAGCAGGGGGCTGCTTCCCCCCTGCCTCTGCTGCGACACCAGACCTGCGGCGCTTTTGCCAAGCAGAGCAGACACCTCTCCGAGGCTCTGTGCTGCTGCTGCTGCCTTCAGAACCAGCAGCACCTGAACATCAGCTTTTTAATCTCTCCTTTAGCCTGCATGTAAAGCAGCAGCGGCAGGAGACACCCCACCATTACAGACCTACCTTGGAGGCGTCTATGACAAAACTGTGTGCTACATTCGCTATGAAGCCATCGACGTGGACTCCCAAGTCACTGCAACACAAAGAGAGTTAATTACAGGTGGGGCGTCACGGCTCAGGAACCTTGTGTGAGTTCCAGAAGTATTGGAACACTCAAGCATCTTTCAGGCGCTTCACTTAATTAGCTATTCGATTCCTTAATTAGCCACACCGAGGAAGTATGTAACAGACCGAGCAGGACTGGGAAGCAAAGCCCAGACGCCAACAGTAAACTCACACCAAGTATGACCAAGACACTCACATTTTGACCAAGTCTCCGTCCTTGAGGATGTAGTCCTGGTCGCTCTTCAGGGGGGAGAAGTGACAGACGCAGTTATTTACCGATATACTCGTTGGGAAGGCGATACCTGCAAAGGGAAGAAGCCACCCCGTGAAACCGCGCAGCCTCCCGCCCGGCACAGGCAGCAGCCCCGCCGGCGTGGCTCGTCACTCGGATTTCGGTTTCTGCAGTGCTGTAACTGCCCCGCTGCACAGGTCTCGCGCCACGGAGCCACGCGGAACGCGGCGTGTGGTCTGCTCCTGCACCGGCTCTCTTTTTGCCCAGGCAGCTGTCCCAGAAATGCACCCAGGCGGTGAGCCACCTGCGGAAGGGACCCCAGCTCTCCAGAACAGGAACCAGGGAGCACTGGGCGACACACTCGCGTGTCACACAATTGCCAGGGCAGCTACGGACCGGCGATAACCGCACTACAGGTCGTCTGCGGGGAGGGCACTGAAACGAGCGCTGCTTTGGACAGCGTGGCTGGCTGGGTGCACGGAAACGCGATGCTGAGGCTCACCAGCGATGCTCGCCAGCGGGGCAGGCAGGAGGACCTGGGTTACAATCAGCTTTCTGGGACCAGCAAACTATTTCTTACACTGATCAGCACGGTGCGGCCCTGGCTGTGCTCTGCCCATTCCCGCCAGCGGCACAAAAAACCACAGCCGCGGAGCAGGCCTCACCTTTTTTCATTTCTTTTTCCTTCTTGAAAATCTTGCCAGTCTCTTCCATGATCATGGCGTCTCCCTTCTCGCACAGGCAGAGAACTGACGCGCCGGAGTTCGCTGCTTCGACCACCGCACGCAGGACCCCTGGATTCAAACGCAGACACGGAGCTGGTGAAGCGCATTTACAACAAACAGCCTTAAACCCCACACCAACCCTCATCACACGGCGCCGTCACAGAAGGAGATCTGCTTGCTTTCCAAGAGGGAACGAGCCTCGGGACTCAGCTCTCCACCCAAAGGACTGCGGACAGACAGAAATCCAACTTTTATTTTGTTTTCACAAACTTTTTCACAGAGCGCGTGAGCACACGAGCGGGCGCTGGGGCTTGCGCGGGTGAAGCGCTGCAGCCCCAGCCTCTGCCTGCGCAGCCCGAGGTCTTGTCCAACAGCAGCCAGGCAGAAACACCGCTCTCCCACATTCCTTCTGGAGAAGTCAGAGCTACAGAAACAGGTTTGGAAATTGCTCGGGGACAGGACGCGCTGCACATCAAACGAGCAGGGCCCGGCGCTGCAGACGTGCGGGACCAGAGGCACCGAGCAGCTGAAAGGCTGTGCTGGGCGCGAGGGCTGGCAGTGGCGCAGGGCCAGCCCAGCAGAGCCAGCCCAGCAGAGCCAGTTACGTTAGTCCCTGACTCTGCCGAAACGTGTTTTAAACGTAACCCACGTGCTCCTGCTCCGGCCTGGCAGCTGCCAGCACGCTGCCTGACACCAGGAACCCCACAGGCCTCGCTCCGTGCTGCAGCCAGAGGAGGTTTGCTGCCTGTTCCGACTTTTGGGCACATCCGAGTGCCTGCAAGTCCCGGCAGCGGTTTGGTTCCACCGCAGACGACAGCGTGCCCCGTGCTCTATAGCACACGGTGGGAAAGGAGCGGAAAAGCGGTGGCTGTGGTCGAAACGCTGCAGCGTGACCCTCACAACACATCTCGGCGGCGATAACCGGACCCAGGGCTCGCGGGAGGGC